AATATATAAAGCAACAAACAGAAAGCAAGAAAGAGAATTTGGGGGCGAGGGATTCCCAACTATCTAAAATGTCTCCAAAAATGTATTAACAGAGCCAGGACTTAGATGTTTAGAGTATTATGCACACACTTCCAAAAGTTGTTATCAGGAATTCACCTAGGGATTTTAATTTATTAATTTTCATTTATTAATCACCACCTTAATATGCTGTCTGCTATGTATGATGACATTTTTTGATAATGATGGAATGAAAATGTCAAAAGAGGGAGTGTGACTCACAGAATAGTTTTCAGAGAATTAAAACACTAACATTTTTAAAAGATATTTAAAAACTTAATAACTTTTTTGATAAGCAAATAATTTTGTGTTGTTCACAAAGTTGTGTATGTTTCTGAACAGGTGTATCTCTTACTAAATGCAATATCTGATCATTTTACTACATTCTCCATTTTTCAAGTTCTGCTTTTAACAGAAATTATATATAGTGAAAGTTATTATAAAGATTTTTTTTTCAGAATATTTGTATTGGGCAATTCTTTGGACTTTAAATAAAGCTAAGCATGGGCAAAAATACCCTTCAAACAAACTAAAACTCACAACAAATAGCAAAGGCCTAAAAATGAAAAACTGTTTTCACTGACACTTATTGGTAAGAGTTTCAGCACTTTCCCCAGAACTATTAGAGAGGTAGACACAATACTGGACAGTGGAAGAGAGAAAATAGTAGTGGATGTCCCCCCCAAAAGAGGACTTGCTTTACTATTTTTGGAAAAGGTCACAATACTACTCAATGGTATGTTACACTCAGACCCAAAGCTTAGAGCAGTGTTTCGGGAGCAAATCAGAATCAAGGACTAGAGTGCTCCACAATCAAATCACTGGGACCTATGCAGAAACTCAAGTGCTGAAGGAGGGGAGGGAGCAAGCATAGATCATGGTGCATATATCCAGAAAAGAAATTTATGAAAATTTTGTTACAGAGCATAAAATAAGGTCCACATAGAGGTTATAAGAAACAATTGGAGGCAATATATGAATTTCTAAGAACATTTAATAATTTTTTAAAGTAAAAGAGAGAAGCAGTAAAAAAATTTTAAAACTCATTCAATTCATGCAGCTAACACCATTGGGAAAACACATTACTACGTATATTGTGTTATTTTTCAAATCGGCTATGAATAAAAGTCAGATATTCTCTTTATAAAACAAACTTTAAAATATTTTTAAATCATGAAATAGCCAAGTTCATGGTGAATTTAATGGATTTAAACTCTATGTTCATTAAATATTACGGAAAATGAAAAATAAACAGACCAAGATAAAAACATTTGAGGAATTATAACAAAGGGTTAATGTCTTGATCAAATAAAGCAATCACATAATATGTCCCGAAAAAGAAAATATAGTTAGTAAGAAATAGATAAGAATACCTCAACCATCCTAGTAATCAAAGAAGCACAATTACAATAACACTGCCTATTATACTGGAAACATATATAGCTGGTCCCCAACTTTTGATGGTTCAATTTACAATTTGTCTACTTATGATGGTGCAAAACTGATATGTATTCGGTAGAAATGGTACTTCAAGTAGCCACACAACCATTCTTTTTTTTCACTTTTAGTACAGTATTCAATAAACTACATGAGATATTCAACACTTGATTATAAAACAGGCCTTTTTGTTAGATGATTTTTGCCCAACTGTAGGCTACTATAAGTGTTCTGAGAACATTTAAGGAAGGCTGGCTAAGCGACGATGTTTGGTAGGTTAGGTGTATCAAATGCATAATTGAATTATGATAGTCTCAACTTACAATGGGTTTATGGGGTTGTAACCCCATCGTAAGTTGAGCAGCATCTGTGTGTATTAATGGTCATGCTGGCCAAGGCCAGAAGCAATAGGCACGCTCAAGTACTCTTGGTGGCAGAATAAAAGCCATTGAAAATAAATGTGACCACATTTATCCAGAGCTATCAAAGTTTTCATACTCTTTAAATTAGTAATTCTTTTTCTGGATATTTATCCTGGAGAAGTAATTCTTGAAGTATAGTCCAGGGACAAGTGAGGGCTCCAAGATTCTCAGAGAGGGAATCAAAGAGTTCAAAACTCTTCTCATAATGATATTAAGAAATTACTTGTCTTTTTAACTCTCATTCTGTCACAAGGGTACAGTGGAGTTTCCCAGGAGCTACGTGATGTGACACAGCACCATTGCTACGAGAATGTGTGCATGTAGGATTATAGAATTTGAGAATAATCTTGCACCTTATTTTTACGCTTTCAATAAGCATTCGACATAAGCAACTTACTTCTAATTCATAAAGCCTTGAATAAAACCCATAGAATCTCTCTAAAGTACTGATTGCCATTATCACTTAAATCTGGCAGAAACCCCAATTTGGACATAAAATATCTGTATGAGAAATAGAAAAACTACACTAGGAAATTCAACACAGATGAGTAAGGAACAAAGATATTCAATCAGAGAGCCTTAGCCTGGGGCAAGGATGCCAGCCAGGTGAATGCAGAAGTAGGCACTAAGGGATGGGTGAGTCACCAAAGCCCACTGCTGGAAGACACGATGCTTAGCCCTTGCTGCCCAAGGGACACATCTGAAGAGATTTAAGAAGCTACTGATGTCCTGGCCCATCTTCTAGAGATTCTGGTTTCATTAGTCTACTGAGGGCCCAGGCATGGGAATTTTTTGAAAAAGCTCCCCAGATAATTCTAATGTGAAACCAGTTTTAAGAACTATAACTATAAATGATGAAAGATACCAAAAAATTCTTCTTCCCTTCCAAAGGATATATTTTGATACAATAGGAACTGTTGCCCTATATTTTATTCTTTCCATTCACATAATTTGTGGCTCTGCCTTCTTTAATTTGCAAACCAAAAAGGGAGGGGGACGCTAATGTTTTCAACTCCGAAGGCACAGAAGTAACCATTCGATCAACATTAACTCTGACCACTCCGGTCAGCAAGGCAGCATTTAAATAAAGGTATCTCTATTTTATAATAAGATGGCCCAGGAAGCTGGAGAGCTTTGCAAAAAGTCGTCCAGCAAAGTTGGGTTAAACCAGGGATAGACTGGAATTTCAGGCCCGACCACTGGACCACATCAACAGTCTTTGGAAGGTCTGTCTTGCATTTATCGGTTTGGGCTAGAGAGCTCCAAACCCTGAAGCCAGTGAGATCAAACAGGGGCAAGACTGCGGGAATTCAGAGAGGCCAACCCAGTCACAAAACTCCCCGCTGCTTCTTCCTCGGTCTCAGACGCTCTGCCCCGGTGACTGTGCCCTCACCTCTCCCAGCAGCCGGGAGACTATCCGCAGGAGTGGAATTTGGCCCCACAAGAGGAGGAAAGTCCCATGACCACAGGGCTTTCTGCACATAAAGAGCTTAGCAATACCCCCCAGGCCGCACCACGAGTTCCTCCTGTAAGTCTCAAGCTCTTAAAAGTTTTCCCGACTAGAACTGCCTTTGCCTGGAGGAACCCGTTAAACCTCAGAGCGGATTTCTCCAGATGATGACTGAACACCAAACAAAAAACAAAACCAGGCATTCGGAGACACAACACATGACACCCACCAAGGACAGGCTGAGCTCTCACCAGTCCTGCCTGGGGGCGCGGCAAAGCAGAACACAGAGTGTCGCACAACACAACCACCGAGTGAAGAAACCCGGCCCTCTTCTGTGTGCTCAGTCCCTCGGGACAAGGCCGCCCGCAAACACTATCATTTGGTTAACTGACCCCAATCCTTTAGGGATGCTGAAAAACAGCCTTGTTAGCCACACAAGAATTCAGAACCAGATTGCTTTGTCTTTGGGTGAAACGAGACCCTGGGTGGAAATGAATCTCTCCCCGCCCTCCCTCTAGGACCTTCAGCGCACTGCACCTTTCTTAGAGCATTTTCCAGTTTGTCTTATATTTGTGTTTGTGCTTGTCTGTCTTCTCCACTGGACTGCAAACCACAGAAAGGCAGACATGGTGTATTTTGCACCTCCACGTGGTGGGAACCAAGTGCATTTACTGAATATGACAGAAGCTTCTTAGGGATGGAATTTTTAAAGTGGCATCAATTATCCCCGAGTTGAGCAGCTCTTTGGAAGGGCAGGCTGCCCAGTAGGTCAGCTGAGTGAGTGGAAAGGCCCTCGGTGAGATGAAATACAGGGGAGGGGGTGGGGTGAGGCGTCAACAGCGTGCGGGCAACTGCACAGCCAAGAGAGGTGTTTCAGAACCTCTGTTCTCAGCAGCTTCTAAAACACCTGAGCATCCACTGTACGCTCCTGAAATGAGCACCCAAAGGAGCACCAACTCAGAGGAAGTGACTACTGGTTACAGCACCCTGCCAACAGGCCTACCGAGCAGCATCTGGTTATTCCTGGCATCTGCCAGTTAAGCCTTGATCTGTTCAGACCCCCTGATCATCTTCTGAGAAACAGTGGGATCATAGCCTGGGGAGCAGGTAGAATTTCAAGTTATCAATAATGTAACAGAATGCCCATAAACACTAAGGACTTCATATAGTCTGAGAGCTACAGGCAAGACACCTACCAGGCATCCCGAGGGTGAAATACCATCACCCTCAATCTGTTTCTTGACCAAAATTCATTTTTAATATGTGCCATGCAACTATGTCACTAGATAAATACATGTATTTAATATTGATGTGATAAATGTGACTCTGCCTAGTTTTGAACAACTGTCTCTGTTTATCTTCTAGAAACATATTTAAGATCATAAGGCTAAATAAACATCCTTCACCATCAGAAAAAGATGAGCTGCCACTCACTCTCTGCCCCCTCCCCCACAGACAAAGATGAAATCAAATTATGTCAGTGCCATGGCACATATTTAGGTCTGGTGAAACATAATTAGAAAAGCCAGAGATGTTTTTGAGCATAATTCCCAAATGCAAACAGTGACATGTACTATTGCTCCACTCTCCCACCCTCTCTAAAGAATAAGAATAATAATAAAATCCATTCTGACCTTGTAGAGCATACGTCCTTCTTTTTCTGTCTCTCAAAGTTCTCAGACATCCAGTGAATATCTATCCTTTATTTGGACAGCAAAATGTACCTTCATCGCCGTCAATTCCCTGTTCTGATCTACCACTGAGTCTCAGCCCACAGAGAAGAAATCGGTGCTGATGGTTCTCCGGGAATGCTCAGGCAGTCAAAGGCAGTAAGAAAAGACTTCCTTTTTATTTTATTTTTTTAACTTTAGTTAGCTCCTAATAACTTCACTCCCTTCCTTTCTGGATTTGAATCATTTTGTCACTCCATGGAAAAGCCTGAAGACACAGGAGCGAAACCCTGGTGCAGACACAGGTCTAAGTCATCGGAGCAGGCTTCCGCTTGGTTTAAAAGAATCAGAACTGTGAGGAGAGAGACAAGAGAACCAGCCAACAGGATGTGTGTGGCTGGAGTTCCTGGCATGAAGTCTTGGCTTTCATGTTTATTTTTGGATGTATTTTTCTTAGCCCTTTGATGCAAATTTCTGGCCTGGGAAGTAACCCTGCAGTAACAGTTCCGAAGTTGCCAAAAGTAAGCACGGGCTACTGACTTGGAAGAATGCAAGCCCCTTGGCTGCTCGGCTCCAGTTACTCCTTAGAGGAGGGTGCAGGTACGGCGGCATTAACAGGCAGGCGAGGGGCTGCCTGTCTGCAGATAGGCCATGCAGTCCCACCTCAATACCCAGGCCCACTAAATACCCACCTGAAATGCCAGTTCACCTAGAAAGCCCACCATTAATGCAAAAGTGAAACAACCTGAAATTGTTAGCATGCTAAATAAAGCCGTAAAACCCACCAAAGGACTTCTGAGATATTTACGTTCTGAGACATTACGTTTTAAGCATTTGGCTTTCACTTTTCTGACAGCTACAGACAGATAGGAACATCAAGCCTATTCAAGCAGAAGCAGATGCCTCTGGAAGGTGTATTATTCTAATATGATATTCTAATAAAGCACATGAGCAAAAACTAACCTGCCATCATTTCAACAGTTCTTATTCTTACATTAATGAAGGATTATTAATGGAAAAGGGCTTTTGCTCCTATGTATTCTAAAAAAGGCAGTAAATAGAAATAACTAAAAAGCTTTTCAGTTCCATAACTGCTAACATATCTGAATAACCTTACAGAAAAAAAAATTTCTGAAAATTAAGCACTAGACTTTTTCTTCAACAGCATTTGCTACTCTTGGCAATATCCCTGTTTACTAATTGCTTTCTTTTCCTAAGACAGAAACATGAACCATCTTATTTTTATCACTCAGTTTTATATCTCAGAAGGCATGAACTAGATTAACAATATGTAGTTAACAATATTTACTGAGGCCACAGCTACTTTTGAGAAATAAACTCTACTGGAGCAATCATTAAATCCAAGCATTGGTTCTCTATGACATGTTTTGCCTTGGTTGGAATAAAATCACAATAGAGCACCAAAGAGGTTTCTGAATAACAGTTACTGCTAGGAAACCACTTTTATTGTGACATGAGTCAGACTATAAATTTACAATACTGCTTTTGTTTTTAACAGCTCTGTAATTTTATTATTGTCTTTAAATTTCCAAAGACTTTGTTCATAAATATGTATTATTTTGAATATGCTCACACATGGCTCACAGTTTGAGCATATTCAAAATAAAGGAAAATTTTGTGCCAGAATGATGTTCGTGCAATGGAAACACAGGTAAACAGGTGGAAACCAGATCGAGGCCTCTCAGGAGCATCTTTTATGGATTTGACCGGGAGTGCCTCTCTAAAATGTACTTTCCTGCACACACTGGACTCATCACCTCATTCAATTTTATATATTAGGAACATTCCACGTGAAGATGTCAGAACATGCCGCAAACCTGAAAGCGCCTCATACGGACACAACATTAGACAGAAATTCAGGGAAAAAAAAAAAAACCAAAAACCTCTCATTGTTGTTGTTCTAACCATTGGAAACCGTCTTATAATATATGTGCAGAGAAGAAAGCATGGAATTGGAGAGTAAATCAGTTTTACGTTTATTTCCAGTGCTACCATCAATCATAAATATCCATAATCTTGGATCAACTATTAATAACTAGTTTAAACTCCCAAGCCTACACTTAACTGCTTTGCCATTTAACTGCCTTACTGAGGGTAGAAAATGCCACTAGTGTCAAAGAGTTTAAATTATAAATTATAATTGTCTCAAGAACTAAAAATGGTATTCCAAGACTTTTAATTTTCTTCTGTATGTAATTCAGAAACATAACTATCTCCAATATTTCTCTCACGCTCTCTCTCTTTCTCTCTGCCTGTTTCTTCCTCCCTCCTAAAATGTTACCAGAAAATGAGATGTTTTATACCCTGGTTAATACTTTTTATTAAGTTCTAATATCAAAAAGGCATAAATGGAGACATTATTCACCAACTCAAAATAAATTTAGCATAATTCACTTAAGCTAAGAAAATATGACCTGACTAAAATAAAGCATCCCAGCACCTTCAAATCTGACCATAAATTGGCAACTGGAAGGAGGGAAAAGGGAGGAGGAAAGGAAGCACTAATAGTTTTCATTAGGAAAGATGTAGGTACAAAGAAAAGTATCAAGCTGCTACCTTAGTTATATATTGGGGATTATTTATTTTATGTGTTTGTAGAGACTATTGAATAAATGCTTCTGGTCAGATTTATACCAATAACTTTTCTTTTATTATTATTATTATTATATTTTAGAGATGGGGTCTCACTCTTGCTCAGGCTGGTCTCGAGCTCCTGAGCTCAAGTAATCCTCCCGCCATGGCCTCCCAGAGTACTATGATTACAGGTGTGAGCCACCGCATCCAGCCTACCAATAACTTTTAAAAAATACTCTGGGTGCTGCCCATTTGACTTACAATATAACAGACAATATGAAACAAGAGATATCTGGGATGGAATTGAATAGGATTTCAAAATCTCACATGTGGTTCTCTGAATACATACCTCTGGAAGCCCAGGAAACTTGCCTTTGGCCCAGAAAGGAAGGGGGATATGTGTGGCCATTGAATTCCCAAGTGTAAGATATAAAATAGAGTATTTGCTCAGCCTATTAAGGGACTATTTTTACACTGAGCTAGCTGTTGGTAATTAGGGACCATAACTTTCAGTTAGAAGGAGCAACTCGGAATTCCCATGGGAGTGTTCTCGCTCAGCCCCTGTAAGTGACATCAAGAGGACATACAGGAGACAAAGCTAAACGTCACAGTGCCTGCCACAAGCTGCACCCAGCACACCATTCCTACAGAGTAAACAGTTAAATGAGAGGCACGTGCCCACGTGGACCTGTGATTCAGGTTCTCTCGTTTTTACTATTTGGAACCTATCCCCTAATGCAGACCCTGAGCAGCTTACCTACCGACAGTGGGGGCCTTACCCAGTTCACCTTTCTGCTGCCTCCTTTTGCCACTCCCAGGCCAGTGATGATTCAGGAGTCTGCCTGAATACTGAAGCTGCATCGTTCTTCCCTACATAGTTCTTCCCTTTCGATCGATAATCAGCTGACAAGACTAACATAGATTTCAGCTGCCAGGACTAGCTCAGCTTTTAATTTTGCTAACAGATATCATTTGCCAGTACAATGGATGGCTGGATTATTAACCTTATTCTCTGCCATAATTAAGAAATAGGTGTTCTGGCTATCAAATATTTTGCTAGCAGATTAGTGTGTATGTCATGAATAAATCACTAACATTCAAAGTATAGAAATAAAATTTATGTAATGATAATGATATATTGTGAAATTATAGGATTGATTTATTTTATTTCTCCTCCAAGTAGAATAGAGGCCTCCACCCTGACAGTAGGAACATAAATATATATGTATATGTATATACACACATCTATATACATACACATACATCATACACATATACCCAATTACATCAACACGGGAGATATTCAGCATATGTTGAATAAATGAGCAGTAAAACAAACAGAATTTGATCGTTCTTATTCAGAAGGTACTTTATAATTGCACAATTTTTTAGGCTTATCATGTACTACATATGCACAAGCATGCCCATCAATATATTTTTGATTAACAGATCACTAGGTGATGGGGTTTATTGTATTTTCAGTTTAGACAGTTAAATCATTGATTGAACACCTAATTCACACTCTACACTCAGTTTAATGAACAGGCAAGTAAAATGAAGTATCTGATTAATTTCTTACTCACTATGAGAAATATCTGACTGATCTCTCACTGATCACTTATTAACACATACCGAATATCTTTCATGTTGATCTAATTTTATTTTATTTGCTCACCCTGTAAAAGAAGTCAGACTAAAAATGCTACCCATCCTTTTCAGCTCTAAATGGTTCTCTGCACCTTGCCCACATTATGGATCAGAAATCTTGCTCTGGGGTGACAGGTGAGGGGTGGGACCCACAGAGCTACAAAACACTATGCACAGTTTAGGACAGCAAAGACTGTCCTCAATATCAATGTCCCTATTTAACAATTTTCCCCTTGGAAAATATCTGCAGAAAACATTTCTAAAGTGTATTCAGATACTCAGACTTAACCAAGGGATCAAACTTAGCATTATTAATAGTGGAGCAACCAGACATTAGGATCCTCCTGATGTACTCAGCCTCGCCTTTGACTTTTTCTTGCCAAAAACTGCTTCACTTGATCTAATCAAGCCTCTAGCCTAACTTCCATTTACAGGAAACCCTGGAATAGAGGTGCAAAAAAGGATACCATGGAAACAAAACTAGACAAATCTTGGGAGAAACTTCCCTGGCCTTTTTAACAAGTCAATGCCATGGCGGGGTGTGGGGAAAGAAGGGAGGAAGAGGTGAGAGAGAGAGAGACAGAGACAGAGACAGAGAGAGACAGAGAGAAAGAGATTGACTTAGATATAACAATCGAATGTAATACATGGCTGTTTATTGGAGCCTGGTTTGAAAAAAAAGTTATAAAAGATATTTATGAAACAATTCGGGATATTTGAAATATAGACTGGGTAATAGATGATATCATCATTAGTATTATAGGTGAGATATGGGAATGTAACAGGATATTCTAAGTTTTTTGAGATATATGCTGAATGTTCAGAGTGAACTGTCATGATTTCTATCATTTACATTAAAGGGGTTCAGCAAAAAACAAGCAAAGATGAAGCAAATATGGCTCCATGTTAACAAATGCTGAATTAGGAGGGAGTGGATGGGTATTCCTTGTACTATATTTGATTTTCTGTCTGTTTCAAAATTTTTTAAACAACAAACTTGTTTTAATGTTCACAGGTAGCAACTTCTTATGAACTTCCTTCACAGCACTGAGGGCTTCTAATTAAAATAAATGTTTGCAACATTTCCACAAACCATTCTATCTTGGCAATTTGACTAAGTCATACAGACAAAAGCAGTTATAATGCCACACATCATGGGTAATCATTTTTGTTCTTAAACTATTTGATTGCACAAAATTCTTTTTAGCTCAAGTTTTCCAAATTCCCTTTTTGAAAAAGACTTTTTGGTTTACCTTTTAAAATGAAAGACCCAAAAAATGGCTTATTTGCCTCAAGCTTGGTCCCTTTTAATTGACAGAAACCCTCTCCACACACACCTCATGCAAACCTAGTTTCGATTTTCCTTCCTAAAAGTAGCTTTTGTCTCTGAACTTTACAGAGCGGTTGGAGCTCTTTAATATTTTCTAAGAGAAATATTTCAAACAAGTAACCCCACAATTTATTCACTACTGCCAAGAATAAAAGTAACAGGTTTTACCACCAAGGCCTTCCAAGGCTTTGCATGACTTTTAAGGCAAAGCATCACTCATTCACCTGCAGGTTGGCTTCCTAACGCATCTGTCATTTGTTTGGCTCTGGAGGAAACTATTTGATTACACAAAATTCTTTTTAGATCAAGTTTAAAATCTTAGCCACACTGGGACAAGTGGCGAAGGCTGCCTGCTCTATGGGTTAACACTTGAACATACTGAGCCAAGGACAAAGACAAGGAGCAACCACAGGTTAAAATCAGAAGCATAAAGAACTGAAAAGGAACTGGTGTAAAAGATGCAAGGCTTAGCTGGGCCTTTCTAAAGTGCTCTATTTGCCATTGCTGCATATAAGATGATTTATTCCTCACACTTGTTGTAAATGAGTGCAATACCCTAAGGGGCGCTGGTAAGCATCAGTAAATGCAAAAGCCACCAGGACCGGTGGCGTCCATCCACTGCTGTGCCACCTATGCATTTTGAAGCTGGCAAGTCACCAGGCATCTTTATGCACCTCCATTTCCCATACCTTATTATAGGGCACATCATTTTTAAAAGCATTTAAATGAAGCAGATGTTAACCCCATTCATTCCACTTTCCCAGGGAACATGTCAATGATGATTTTTAAAATGCAAAAGAAAATGTCAAAGTATTTTGTTCCCTGGTTAAGAATACATCTGTTGAATAGGAGGGAGAAAACACGTAAAACACTCTATGGTCATTCAAGAAATAATTATAAGGTATGTCAAACTACAGAAAATTGAGCAAGCACTAAATTAAGAAAAAAAAAAGATGTCTTGTGTCAAAATGGCTTTTTTACTCACTCATTTCAAAAACAAGTTTTGAAAATTAAATTCCATCCACCAGCTCAGAACAGAACACATTAAGGCTTGACTGTAATGCCATTATCCATGTGGCAGCTCCCTTTCTTTTCCGAAACCGCATTAATTGACAAAGAAGCCTTGGGGCTCACCTCCCATAGTGCCTTGAAGTCCTTCTGCTCGATGCGGAGCAGTTCGCTGCTCTCCCTGGTAACGATGGTCGCATGGCGGGGTGTGTTGTCCAGAATGGACTCTCCAAAGGCCGTCCCAATTCCAAGGGTACAGATGGTCACTGCATCCTGCGGATCCCAAAAACTGGTCATTAAGAAATTAAATCTCTAATGGATACGTGAGTTTTCTTTCCTTTAATTGAAGCATCATTTGTACAAAATAAAACGCCCAATTTAATTGTACAGTTCAACAAGTTTTGACAAATAGACACACTGGTGTAATTATCACCCAAATCAAGACAGACCATTTCTATCACCCTTGAAAGATCTCTCGTACCCCTTTCCAGGCAAGATCCTTTTTTCAGAAGTAATCACTGTTCTGATTTCTGATATAGGAGTTTTGCCTATTTTGGAATTTCGTGTAAAAGCAGTTAGATGATATACTTTTATTTATGTCTGCCTTCTTTTGCCCAACACAATGTGTGTAAGATTCATCCATCTTCTTGCACAGATAAGCAAGTTTTTCCTCATATTGATGAGTGGTTTTCCATTGTGTGGGTGTGCCATGATTTGTTCATCCATAATCCTATTGGTGGACATTTGGGTTGTTTCTAGTTTGAGGATATTATGAATAAAGCTGCTGACAATAATCTTATCTTCTTATAGAACTAATTACTATCTGCTTTAAGAAAATGGGAAAAACCTATTGAAGATGAACTCAGTATTTTTTTTAAGTGAGAGAGTGTAGTTATAATAGAGAGTGTAGTTTCTAATAGGAAACTGCAATAGGTATGTTATTAGGTCGGTCTGCTTGAAGAAATGAGGAGACTGAGGGTCAGAGTGATGGATTTACACGGCTCCAGTTCACACAGTCAAAGTAGTACGGCCAGATTCTAACCAAGTCTCTGACTATAGATTCCAAGCTTTTTGTATCATGCT